TCAGTGGGGTGTTGGTAGGGTGTCTGTAGGATAACAGTAGGTAATCAGTGGGGTGTTGGTAGGGTGTCTGTAGGATAACAGTAGGTAATCAGTGGAGTGTTGGTAGGGTGTCCGTAGGATAACAGTAGGTAATCAGTGGGGTGTTGGTAGGGTGTCCCTAAGATAACAGTAGGAAATTGGAATGAAGAAACCGCAAAACACAACATGGTTACAAACCTTCTCATCTATCTGTGATTTCTTGGCACTTCTGTCCAGCCTCAACTTTTCAAGCTCATTTGTTTCAAAGTCAATCACCTAAGAGAATTTTAGCCAGCACAGCATTAGTATCAGTACTTTCGTCCTTCCCTCCCCAGCCCCCTCCCCTGGGACTTTTGACTTGTAACCAATCTTCCTTGACTAATCGACACGGGGAGACAGACGAACAGTATGTAAGAGGAGGTGATGGGAGTAGAGGTATAGCTATCGAAGACAAACCTTCAGCTGTTGTTTTTCTKCTTCTTTTAGTTCTTTTATCTCTCTTTCATCGTTCTTTATGCTCTTCTCAATCTTCTTCACTTGAGCTGTGAAATAAAACATTTAAAATAAAATAAAGGAGTTATCGCCAAGTCTCCGTAAGTCAGAGACTAATGCTGTGTATATAACACGCCACACTCACTACCACTAGGTTTAATAATCATAGCACATGAATCTCATCTCTACTGGGCATGCTTACCATGGTTTTTTTTGTGTGTTTTATGGGGTCTCACAATGTAATAAAAGAAAAATATATGAAACACTTACCCTTGCTATCTCTGCTTTGTTCATAATCAAGCTAAACAAAATAATACGCAAATGTTGAGCATATCTATTTTTTTGGGGAAGGGAATCATGAAGATCTGAATTTTTTCCTTTTACATGCATTATTTTGAACCATTAATTTTCGATATTTTAGTCAAGTCATCACTCAAATTCAAGCAGAAAGAATGTTCACACACTTTCAACATTCAGACATTATTCTTTTTATTATATTATTTTTGAGCCTAAACCCTTAGTGGAACAGTTAGGTCCTTCTTTTGTAATTCTATGCAATATAATTAAACACAAGACAACTAGCCAAGGTATTCTTCATTGGGTAAAGGAAGTTTATTTGACCAACACAAGCAACAAACCGAGGAACAGGACAGATGATCCCGATCAGCTGACCTAAATAAACTTTGGCCCACTCCTGTACATGGGAGGGTGGACGGGAAAGCTAACTATAAACACTATATAAAACCCACTGAGAACGAGAGATGACTATATGACTGTATGCACATGGATCGTAATCTGATATTTTAAGTATCTCAAAATAAACCAAATACTGCACCTGGTTTTGCAGCCTTGACTCTTGTTTGGAAAACTCCAACCGTTTCTTGGACCTTTCTTGCTGTGCTTTCAGTTGCTTCTCTTCATATTGCCTATTCAATATAAAAGATATAAAGAGCAAACTAAAGATACCAAAGAAGATTTGAAAGCATGAAAATATGCATATTCAATTTTCATATTTCATTCAAAAGTCATGGAACAACTGGAAAATCTAAGTCAACATTATACAAATTACTAGGCTGTAAATGGTAGTTTAAGCTAGAAAAATTTGCTCATTCACCGTTGTAGCATCCCTGACCCTTAATAAAACCCCTATACACCTATTCCTGCTATTTATAGAACATGTACCTGATAGTTGTCACACCAATTGTATCACAGAAGTCTTGGAAAACCTAAGACAGATATGGTTTAGTATAAATCACTTTAGTTAGTCAAGCAAAATTAGCCACACCTCTAGTGCCTTCCCAGAGGAATCAAGGCAAGGTTCATCAAATTTTTTATCAATAAAACGTTTTGCTCATAAAGAATATACTGAAAGAGCCATGATCTTTGTCATAGTCCACATAGATTCCTCTGCCCCCTCCCTCCCCCATCCCCTGCAAATAAATTACTCCTGCCTAATGATCAATAATCGTCATTAATATTTACCCTGTCTTCAACTTGGTTCATCTCCATCTCTGTCCTCTTAATTTCTTGCTCTCTTTCACCCATTGATGCAAGTAAGCGTGCTCTATCAGGCTAAAATTTAAAGTATCAATAGTAATGTGAAAATGGTGTAGGTGAGACATGTAGTTCCTTCAGATAGGAAGCTTACACATAAAAACGTATCGAGAATGGCAAAACTAGGACAATGATGCTAGCACAGTTTCAAAACGTTTTTTCATGCATGCCTCATTGTCCTTGGCATTAGCAGGAACTTTTTCACAACCTAGAATGAATTGCAAATCCAAGGTTGATGATGCACAAATGAAAAAAATTTTAAAAACTTGCTTGCCAGCCTTGCCATCCTCAATACATTCTTGATGAAGCTTAAAGTCACTCATATGAGCTTCCATAAATAAACCATACAAAATCCTAACGCGAAATTCCTGAGAGGAACAATGCTTACAGTAAGATAAAAACAACACTCACCTCTAGTGCTTTCAACTTCCCATCAATTATTCTCAGTTCACGAGAAATCTCAGCCAAAGTTTGGTTTTCCTATACATTGAAGAAAAATCTCTTAGATTAGTAATATCTTTTCACATTTCAGATCATACGTCATATAGTATGTATTCATATGTCAAGGACAGGTCCAGGGGGGTGGATTGGGTGGCTAGCCAACCTCTATGGAGGGGAGTAACAATTCTTTGCTATATGCATGTGACATGCGCAACCAATAAACAAAGAAATGCCACTTTAGGGAATGACACTGATCTAAAATGGGACAAATTATGCCTAAAATAATAAGGTCTATTAATACTGGGAATAGTTTATTGAAAGAGCTAGACCAAAAAGGTTCTGTAGGACCTACTGGGAATATTTTATTGAATGACTCAAAGAGCTAGACCAAAAAGGTTCTGTAGAGCCTACTGGGAATATTCTATCGAATGACTCAAAGAGCTAGACCAAAAAGGTTCTGTAGTACCTACTGGGAATATTTTATTGAATGACTCAAAGAGCTAGACCAAAAAGGTTCTGTAGTACCTACTGGGAATATTTTATTGAATGACTCAAAGAGCTAGACCAAAAAGGTTTGGTAGTACCTATTGGGGATATTTTATTGAATGACTCAACGAAACTAGACCAAAAAGGTTCTGTAGTATGTAAGTAAGCTAGTGAAACATATCTTGTTTAAATGTTATACAAACTTACTATGTTGTCTCTATCTTTGCGACAGAATTTCAGGCGGTTATCGAGCCCATCAATCTGTGACTGCAAGTTTTGCAATTCCGGTTCCTTTCTGCGATGTTTGGCCAAATCCTTCAGCTCGTTAAGGAATTGATCTCTTTTCTTCTTAAGACCATCTACTTGCTTTTCATCCCAGCGCTTGGCCTTTGCTTTCAAGTCACTATAATTTAATATGTAAGAAACCCATCAGTACTCTGTTAAGAATATTTAAAGCTGAGGATAAATGGATTAGAGAGAAGTCTTAACAAGTTGCAAAGCCAATGAAGATCAAATTACAGATCTGTAATAGTGTACTTTATGACAAGCTGAGATGTGTCGGGAGTCAGTCTGCTGACTGTTGGCCAATGATCAGCAGACAGTCAGCAGTTTGGTGATTGACACATGTCATTAAATACAAGATTATCTTACAGATCCCAGTCTCAAACACTACCCAACTTACATAACAAAACAAAAAACAATATACTGATTTGTTTAAAGCATTTAAACAGTACTCCTTATAAAAGATTTTTATTACCTAACACCACCAGAAATGACTCCAGACTTTTGAAAGAGAGTACCATCTAAAGACACAGTCTTCTTTCTCTCTGATCCTCCAAAGGCAAGTTTCCTTGCTTCTTCCATTGTATCACATACCAGGGCATTACCACAGGCATACTGCAATGCTTTCTATAAATATAACACAATCAATAAGAAGGCAGAAAAATATGAATGACTCATAGAGGCAAGAAATCTCTATTGTGTAGCTTTCTAGAAATTATGAATATTTTGAAAATTTTACCCATACACACCCCAAAGAGGGATTTGGAAGGGTATATATATAACACAATCAAGAACACAATCAATAAGAAGGCAGAAAAATATGAATGACTCATAGAGGCAAGAAATCTATTGTGTAACTTTTTTGAAATTATGAATATTTTGAATATTTTACCCATATACACCCCACAGAGGGATTTGGAAGGGTGGGAGGGTCAGAAAAATAATTACAGAGTTTGTATAATACAGAGTTTGTATGGAAGAAAATTGGAATTTCTGGGAGTAGGGGGAGTTCGATAAATTCCTCCATTAGAGATAGGGATAATGTATGAATAATTTCTGGAACTACACATTACATGAAGTTCCACCCTGTCAAGCTGTGCCACTGCTGTACTTTGGTGTACTTGGTAGTGAATAGCAATAACAAATTTTGCCAATGTTTATAGACACTGTATTCCACCACCTACTGGTTGACATGCTACAAAATATTTTCAAATCATTTCACAGAACTTAATAGTAATATTAAATAAGAAAAGAAAAAATACCTTCACAACCGAGGGAGAGTACCTAATGACATCCATCACAAGTTTAGTATTTCCACCCAGTTGTCTTAGCTGTTCGCTAATTGGCTTCACTTGTATAAAGTCCAGGGCAAGGAAGGTTTCACGTTCAGCTCTCTAACAGAAATGAAAATTCAAACATGTGTAAACTTTGACTCCAGATGCTGGACACGACACATCATGAGGTTAAGACATGAGTACAGCCACCCAAGAGGGGCATGTGAGAATTTTTGGATTTTAGAATTCAGACAATTTAAAATGCAGTTTTTCAGTTAATTTTGTTGTTGTTGTTGCAGTTTTCTTGAGAAATGTCTATGGCATTTTTTACACTTCAATTTTTTTTCTAATTCCTTCGAGATCATTCGTTTTTGGCATTTTCCCACCAGATTCATGGTTTTAGCGCCCCTCACTATACGTACCTGTTCTTTCAAGTACTGGATACAGTCTTTAGCTGTTTTCTCTGTATCTACTATAATGGCATCCATGTTTGAAGCCAGAACTTTGGTTATTGCAAGATTATACCTGGTAATCAGAAAAGGAGAAGTTACTCAAAACTGTCATTTTAAGAAAAACAGCCAGTAAAATAGAGATCTTTATAACCAAATACCAACAAAAAAATTGAAAAACATAAATGTGTGGTAACATGGATGATAACGTAATGACTCATTGCATAACAAAGATGCATTGCAAGCAACTGTAGTCACTATAACCACTCCAACTACAACATTTTTCCTTGTTGTAAGAGAGCAAAAAAAAGCTTCTACTTTGTGCAGCAAGAAGATTTGTGCATGTACTGTAGGGTGGGCAGAGCAACAGTTTCTTTGCAATTTGCAGTATGATCTTCAGCAGAAAGTTGAACAATTTTCTTAGCATGCTGCACACTTAAATGAGGGACTTGATGGTGGATTGTTACCCAGTTATTTAAAAAAAATAAAGTTATCATAACCCAGTTATTAAAAAACACTTACTTCTTATGCACAGGTTCACATAAGTCAATAAGTTTGCCATAGACTCCAGGAAACAACCTTTTCATGCTTTCCATAACTTCTTTTCTTTTCTGATGTCTTGCACTTTCATGTTTATCAGACCTGGCCTCATTCAACTCTTCTTGCACACTCTCTAGCAATACTGATACATCTCTGTGCCGTGTGTTGGCACCTTCCACTTCATCAGATAACTTGGAATAATCATCCTTCAATTTTTCCACGGTTTGGACATTTGTGCTAAATTGTAGTGAATAAGTATAGAAAAACAGTAAGAAAAGATTGCGAAAAAGTCAATGTGTAATAGACTTTATTCATGGTGTGACAATGTTTTCCCAATTCAGCATGACAAACCACAATGGGATTCATTTTCGTTTGTTTTTACTCTTCGAAAAATTCATGAGTATCCCAAAGGATACGAAAGGAATAACAATGATATCCTGACGAGTTTCAAAACAATAGCTCTTCATTCCCCCAGAGGTTTGTCATGCTGAATTGGAAAATCACACCACAGATAAGGTCTATTAGAAATTGTGTAATGAACAAATATATGAATTATTTGATTGATGGGATATCTGTAGGGGGTGGTGCTACTAAGTGTTGTTACTTACTTGAGATAATCTTCTAGCTTGTCTATCCTTTCTCTCAGTTGGACACTGTGAATCAAGAAAAAGAAGGAATTGGGACAAACATTAAAAGAACTGTTATTAGTAACATATTCCAGTACATTTTGCTTTTAATTCTAACAGCCCATCATGTTTCTGCAACCTAACCATCCGAAAATTGCTATTAAGTCTTGAGAATATTTATTGCCACGATTGCATCTTTTATGTTTGCGAAAAAAAATTCCCTGCTTTTTGGTTAACTGACATAATAATAATTCCTTGGTGCTAGTAGCAATGGCCACACTGTAAATAAATGCCAATAAATATGATTATAGCTTTGGTATCAGGAGGACCTCATTACCCACCTTTGCTCTTCAAGTTGTTTCTTCCTGTTCTGCATGTCTAACTTGCTTTGTCTTATTGCATCAACTGCTTCTTGATCAGATTGCTGGTCACGATTAATCTACATAACATACACAAATGAACAATATCTCCATAACTGTGGCTTTAGATTTTTTTAGATTTTTCTTTTGATAACGACTGTTTGGAAATGGTGTAAAATGCTTGTTGCCTTCTCATGAGAATAAAACAACAAAAGAAGTGTCCCCGATTAGAGTATCACTTGTAATATGCTAGAAAACCGACAAGTTAATAAAGTTTATGTATGTACTGTATGTAAGGCCTAGGGCAGACGTCAAACTTTCCATGCACTGAACTCATTAAAAACAATGGATATCAGGTGATAATGAGGCGGCATTCTTTGATGTAATTAAGTTCGGTGCATGGAAAGTTCAACGTTTGCCCTAGGTCTAAGTGCCCACTATGTTTGTTGAAATGACAAAATTTTTTCACAATATTTATTTTCACTTTTACTGGTATTTATTTAAACTTCTTACCCTATCCAGCTGTTGCCTTATTGCTGCTGTCTCTTTTCTCGCTTGCTCTTTCAATATGTTGTACTCTTCAACCTAGAAATGTATAAACATTGTATCTGGACTGTTTTGCCTTTAATAGCCCATGTGGGGGAGAGGGGAGGGAGGGGAGAGCCAGCCCCCTATCCCTCTCTCATCAAGAACCTGTAAGTGTTACTATGAATGTTACCTGAGAATCCATGAGTTCCAGATCTTCTCCTTGGCTTTCTTCAGCAACTTCTTCCTCATACTTTTGGGCAAGAYGCCTCACCTCTTCCAGGGAGTTTTTCAACTCATCAATCTGTATTTTACATGATGCTTTCATTAGTTCCACTCAAATAATAAGTTACTTTTTTGACCATTTCACTAATGATAACTCTCACCAGTAAAGCTGATTGACAAGTCTAATAATTAATATTAAGAATAATTTTAATTATTATACAGTATCTACCTCAGCAAGATGCCTCTGTCGTGCTTCTTTTGCCTTTTCATATGCTTTCCTTTTCATGGTCAAAAACAAATTCTAATTAGTATTTTTCAATTAACCCCAAAAGATAAAATAAGAGATTACTATTGAATCTTTTACATGATTGTAACCAATGCAGGTATTTATATATTTCCTATAACTATTCTTTTTAATTAAATAACTAGGTATTTCAACATTGAAATATTAGATATCATCATCACCACGACCACTACAATCATCATCATTACACTTACTTGGAAGTCTCTAGACGTTTAATAACATGGGAAGTCTTTTCCTTTGCCTTAATAAAAGCAGGTCTTTTTTGGTTTAACTCAACTTCCTAATGAGATATAATACAACATCTTTAGTAGTGTGTTTAATAAGTGTGCTTCCTGTTGCGCGACCGACCCTAATTTTCTTGAGGATTTTTTATCGACCCTAATATTTTTTCATTCCCAAATGCACCACAGGGTTCCCAGTAAGCTAATTTCCACTGTTGTATCAGTAAAGAAAATCCGACCTACTGACCCCAATTATTTTTCTCATGCAACAGGAAACACTTTTTTTTTGTTTGGCCTAATCACTCAACCAAAATAAATAAATATGTGTTATTCAAGAGATTCACCTTTTCCCTGATTGTTTTTTCGATAGTTGCCATTTCTCTTGCCAACTTAGCATTTTCTTGTTTTTTGCCTTTCAACTGATGCTCAATAGACTGCTTCTTACTCTCTAGTTTCTCAGTTTCTCTACTCTTGTTCCGCAATTCTGTGGTTAAATGAGAAACCTCTTGCTCGTTGTGGTATAACTTGAACAACTGGGACTCCATCAAGCAATCAGCCTGGAAAAAAATAGAACAAACAAAATGTATTAACCAGGTTAGGCTATAGTTTAATGGTCAGGACGTTTTATAGATCACCATAAAAAAATATATGGCAGCACAAAAATCGAGAGTTATCCTGTAAAATGCTAGTCTTTTGTTCTGTGACCCCCCCCCCCCCCACCTCCACCCCTACACTAACACACATATGCATTAGAATAAACGAAAATAAAGCATTGACTTTTCTTAATCGTAAATACAGGCTGTGATGAATCAATTCTAATCTTGTGGCCATCCATCTTAACCTAGCTGCCATGCTATGAAAGCAATCTATACAAAAGAATCATAATATGTTACATTTTTGAGAAAATTAGTTTACGTACAAGTTCTAGGTTCAGCTTGTTGTATTTATCAGCTTCATCTTTTTCCAGTTTTGCCTCTCTTCTCTCTGCAGCTATTCCCTATAAAGGTGATACAATTTTTAAAATTAGATTAACATTATAATTACTAATTCTATCCTCTAATGATTAGCTGAAAGTTAGGAAACCAAACCTTTTTCTTGTGATAGTTAAAACTGGTTTCTTCTTCAGCTTTTATCATATCAGCTTTTTTCTTTTCATATGCTTCACCCAGTTCACCAGATCTGTATATATATATTATAATTATTTATTTGATTATGATAGTGTCGTTATTGGGTCACCTATTCATATGCAAAAGGGGCACTCAGGAATAGCTTATGTCTGTTCTTCTTTTCATTATCAATGATGAATGTTATCAATGTTTTAACAGACCCTTAGCATGATGATATCATTGAAAATGGCTCATTTCCCATGTTTGACGCCTAACCAGGTCCATTTGCACAAACATGTAATCACCTGCTAATCTTTTCAAACATTGCAGTCCTTTCTTTTGGAGTCTTCATTGCAATGGATTCAACAGTACCCTAAATGTGAATGTTTAAGAATTGGTTAGGAAGTAAATTTACAGTCTATTAAGTCAGAAACACATGTTTAAGCATTCAACATCAAGGCACAGGGTGAGAGGCAGCACATATTGACTGAACGATTTCCAGATTATTAGAGAGACTTCTTTCATAGTGATCCTGCTGGTCCCTCATAATCCCAAGAAAGAACTTAAAAAGAAAACATAACAGAACACAAGTAACAGACTTTACCTGGAAAACCAAGAAATTTTTAGCCTTCACGAGAATCCCTAGACTCTCAAGTTTGCTGGTGTACGCTTGAGGGGTGCAAACTTTATCATCAATGCGATATTCTGTACCACTGCCGACAATCCTGATATATAGTGGTACAAGTCAATACATTATCTATTAGATGCAATATTAAGCAACTATGTAGACAAAGGTGATCTTGGTAAAAGACAAGGCCTGTGTTGATCTATCACTCACATTGCCTTTTCAAAATACTCCTAGAAAATGCATTTTCCTTCCCTCAGCTTCAAACCCAACTACTTTGCAGTTCATTTTTTTTWAAATGAAACTTACTTTCTTGTGAATCTGATTTCGGTTCCATCTTCTTCTGCATAAACTGCTGTTACTTTAGCAGTCGAGCCAACTGGACGGCCAACTGGAGCACCATGGATTAAGTCCTAATATACATAATAATAATGGGAGGTTCTTATATAGCACATTTATATATCATCTCAATGTGCTTTACAAGAGAATAAAAGTGTGTACTGTATACAGTATGTTTATAAGGTCTTACAATGTGACTGCTATGGCCATGGCTAAACGTCTTAACTTTTTTACACCTTAGTTAATAAAAGTCTTGTATTCTATTGAAAAACATCGCAACTGAAACTATTGCTTGTCGTCAACTTGCAATTCCTCACTTTCTAACGAAGTAACTCATGGAGGTGCATAGCAGAACAGGTTGGCAAAATAGTGGCCTTACAAGGGGTGACAAGGGATATAAGAGATTTTAAGATTTGTAAGATCTATGAGCTCAATGTCAATGCAAGTGTATAACTTTGCCTTTCCCGTAGATCAATTGACTTTACTGACAATGTTTTGAATGAAATCTCCAATAGACAGAAACCCAAACAGAAATTTAAATTTACATGTATACTTCTGGTTGACGTCATAGATTTTGCAAATCTTCAAGTTCCTAATAATGTTGATAAACCCATAAAAATGTTGGCGACATTGCCGTTGCAGATGAATCATACTCCAATGTGGAAAAAGATGAGTCATCAAGTCAAGTATCATAGAAAATTTTGAAGCTGTAATTGATACCTTAACAGTCTTAACTCTAAGACTTTGTGTTCTTTCACCAAATACAAAGCTTATGGCATCCATCAAGTTAGATTTGCCTGTGAAGAGAAAAAAAAGCATTGCAAGTCTTAAAAAATAAAAAATAAAAAATGTCATAGAAACTTAGAAAAAAATTAAATTATTTAGTGATGTCAACAGTTGATCAAAATGTTATGTATCCACAAGGCATATGCTTGCTCAGTGCATGATTAATAATCTGTTGATGTAATTCGTTGGTATGGCCTCCTATTTACCACTACTCTCAATCAATCAGAAAGCAAGAAAATTTACATTTGTGGTAAAAACTTTGATTGACATCCACCAAAACCCTATTTTGTTATGATGGCAAATCGTTGGATTCTATTGAAGGATATAGAGAAGTGCTGTTTTTGACAACTTCATTAGCTATTCAATTCAAAGTTTTGTTATTTTTTGCGCATATAAGCTTAAAGAATACAAATATCGTCCCATCAGCCCTTCCACTTTCCCCGATCCTTCTTACCACATCCATTAGGTCCTATGATGGCAGTGAATCGCATGAAAGGACCAATAGTATGACGGCCTTTGTAAGACTTAAAGTTCTCCAGCTCCAGACGCTCAAGATAACCCATGTTACCTGGAGGCTTCAATATCAAACAAAAACATTGATTAATTATCTTAGTTTTCCGATGTCTTTGCAAAACAGCTCTACAAAGCGACACTACAAACTCTTCAATGAAATTATCATCTTAGACTATTTTTCATCGATTCTTCGGGAATGTTTAGCTATAAAAAGAATTAAATATAAAATCATCTTACCTTAGAAAAGAATTTTTAATGGTTTTAGCTAAATTTAAGGATGTTTTTGGACGATAATACCACACACAATCTGCTCTCTATTTTGCTTTTTCGAATGGTTTTGGCGGGAAACTACCGTGAGTGGACTGGGCTGACAATGCGTGCGCAAGCGTTTTTGTTGAACAAAAACTGTTAAACATTGCGGGCTCAGTCGTAATCTTGGAAATAATTGAAAAAGAAATACTATTGAAAAACGTAGGAAATTTATGGCCAATAGAGAAAAGCATGCAAAAGTATTTAGGTAGAATAGTGGGCTGATATCTTTTATAATGAATCCCCCAAGTGCTGAGGCAGTGGCTGCACGGAATGTAAGTGGGGTTTTATTCCCAACTCATTTCTTCAACTTCATGCCTATTAACTTTCTAAGCTTATAAACTTACGCTTTTTTTCTTTTTCTCTTTTTCAGTTCAGAGAGTTTTTAATGCTGTACAACAAATTGACGGAAAATTGCTTCAGTTCCTGTATAACTAACCTAAATCAAAGATCACTAACAAGCGAAGAGGTACTACTGGCAGAAATCGTAAAACAGTCCACCACAGAGTACCAATCAAATGACCTTAGATTTATTTCTCTCTTATCTCTGGACCAGCTTCCAATGATTTAGTTTATTGAACATGTCATTATTGGTCAGGAGGTACCCTGGGTGCAGAGTCTTCTTTTACCTTCTCCATGAGCGAGAGAAGGAGGTAAAAGGAAGGAGACTTTAACAGGGTAGTCAGGAGAGAGGGGTGGTACCAATGTTTATGGAGGGGAAATTGGGCAAAATCTCTATTATCTACAGCCATTCTCAATCACACACCCCCTCCAGCAATTATTGTTTCTGTCGCGATGGAGCAGGTTTTGGTGGACTTCAATCACAAGGCATTCCCATAACATTGTCGGAAAGCACAAGATATAAGGGCCTATAAAAATAATGTCATGGAAATGCCTTGATTGACGTCCACCAAAAGCTTCTTTGTCGTGACAGAAACAATCGTTAGAGAGGCATGTGTGATTGAGAATGGCTGTAAATGAACAGGGGCATAGCCAGAAGTAGCCTGCGTAGCCAGAAGTGATTAAGGGTGAAATTTGACTTACCAAAGTTCTAAGAGCAAAATTTTGACAACACCCCTGATGTATGAGAAAACAAGGGGGATATATACATATGAGCAGGGTCAGGCATTACTTCACACCAGCCTTCCCCCCTCTAAATTAATTTCAAATTCAATGATTTAAAATTCCCTTTACTCTCATGTAATTTTGTTTTCCCCCAAGGTTTTTGAACCACTCTATTTTTCTTAGCAAATAACACCTTACGTACAAGTTATCCATCTTCCATTTTATGAAAAAATGTCTGTTTTGATATGAAAATAATAATGACATGAGTGATTGTGTTTTTTAGACATCCTGTGTAGAAGTATGTTCCAGCAAATGGGTTAATCTGAATCATCGACAGATGTCAGTTTTCATGGAAGTTGGTCCTTTGGCAGAAAAGAGACTAGGAATGGGACAGCCATCTTGAATAAAAAACTAATAAGAACACTAAATCAAGACCTCTAAAAAGAACTTATGGGAAGAACAAGACAGTGTCCACTTCGATGATTTGTAAAAAAACAAATTTATGATGCTATTCTTGCTTGAGCAGTCCTAACTCACAGATAGACCCTAACCCTGATATTTTATACCTAAACTACCATAATCCTGTACAAAGTCTCTTTTTGTTTTTAAATATTAAAACTTTGAGAATACCAAGATAATAGTGAAAATTAGCATGGCCAAAAAGATACCAAAATGATTGAACTGTTATGCAAAATGCCATCATGCTTGACACCTACAGAGTCCATGTGCCTGGAATAGCACAAAACCATGTGTGCTTTATGTGCATATGTAGGCATAGTTGTTATTATTGAAAGACTTTTAATACTAGATTTGCTTTCTATAGAAAACAATAACCTTGGCCAGGATACCCTGGTTATTCATCTTAAGTCAAGGGGGGAGGGGGGTGAGGGTGGGCAAGAGGGAGGTCAGTCAGAAGGCTGTAGTAAACTATTTAGGATTACCAAATTCTTCAGCAACTTCAGTGTAAAAAGTTTAAAAGTAGTGTAAGAAAACGTAGGAGCTGGAGTTAGCCATTTTCATTGTCCCCCAAATTCAATCAATTCACATCATTATCAGTTTTCAAAATTTTAATGTTTTTTTTTGAAGAGTGTTTTGTTTTTCATTTTTCCTTTAATTTATCACATTAAAGGGTAAGATATAGTACCCATCATGCGTAAATATCCAAGTCCGGTCCAAAGTGTAAAATAAGCTACATTAAATGCCAACCTTACAACTGTGGTTATTACAGTTCCTGTGCCATTATTTTAAGCTTGCTATGATGGTTTTTTAATATGGAATCTTTTACATTTCCCTCATATAAAGAGGCAATCATAACATCCCAACTTATTCATCTAATTGTGAATGTTTTTGTAATTCTTCTTTAGTAAGATCCAGCCTCAGTGACTTTTTAAAAACCACACAACTGTCCTTACGAGAAATGTTTTGGTCATAAATAAATTTAACTTCATAATATAAAGATGATGACTGCTAAAATCAGCATCAATAATAATCGTTTTGAATTCTGAGTAATAATTTTAACCAACATCAAAACACTAAGTGTCACAAAGTACACAAGATTTGTAATTAAACAATAACTACTTTAACTAAACAATATGCTAACCCTATACAAATATCAACATAACCATAAAAATATTTTGAAGTTTTTTGAATCTTTTAAAGTTTTTTGAGTCCTTCACAGCAAAGTTTTAGTGTCTAAAGAGTAAATGAGAGACAACTACATAAATTATTTTTGGGGCACAGAAACAGAAACACAGTTGTTTGTTCCAAGACTGACACTGTTACAAAGCAATTGCTTGTAATGCATGAACCTCATTGGTACAGACACCACAGCCCTTTTGAGATTGACGACCACAAGCCATTGCTATCTCTGCTCTACGACGCTTGGTCTGTGGAGTAGAATCTTCATCACTCAGAACCCCAACAGCAATACTGTGAAGTCTCTTAAGTTCATCTCGCAGTGGTTGTGGATCATCAGGGTAGCTGTCAGCATCTGCCATGAGTGAAGTTGGCATGCATGGCTGCAAATGTTCTGGAAATGTTGGCAAATCTTCTGGACACTCAAAGATAGTTTCAAGGGAATGTTGGTATGGTGACCTGGATTTTTTATTATTCCAGGGAATAGTACGTCCAATATGGCAATCTTCTTTGAATACCTCATGTATTAACTCACGGCATCTAATCAAGTCTCCAAGGTCAGTGTCAGTCAGTTTTTGAAGTTTGAGGATTGTCCCAAACCACCTGGGTGACAAGCTCTCCAGTTCTTGGCTCAGTAAAGCCAAGGCCAGCACAGAACCCTATAAAAATGTAATTAAGTTCTTATTTTAGGTTTTTAGAATAACATCACACTTATTTACTGGGGTCTTTCTCTTACCTTAAACTGAGTAAATTGAAAGTTACAAAGACAGTCCTCCAGTTTTCCAGTAAGTGAGCTCAGAAGCTGATTAGGAGCCATGTTACTTTTGGTGAAGCCACAGCCAGAAAATACTAAGGCATTATACTGAAAGGATAAATAAGACTCATTAGAGATTTAAAATTTGTTATATTTTAATGCCCTTTTATTGAAGACTGGACAGTTACTAAGATAATCAAAATAATATAGACCGTTCTCATGCAGCATTAATTATGTTGGATGGAACATTAGATTTTTGTCCTCCTAGCCTCACCTTTGAGCACTTCAGGATGAGGCTACAGGGGCAGAAAACTAAGGCTTTAATTCTCATGGGACTAAACATGGTTGCAACAGTGTGACAAAGGTCTATCTCACAGCAGAAATGCAATTTACGCAATATTAAGTCAATACTTACAAGATGTAGAAATGACAATGGAGTGATAATGTTGAGGTTCCACTGAAGTTTGGACAGAATAATACGCTCCATGCGAAGCACATCAGAAGCAGAACAGCCACACTCACTCACTCTTACAAGCTCTGCAAGTGATGGTATATTCTAAAAGTATAAAAAAATACAATTAAATATGTGCTAACTTTTCAGCTACTCCAAGTATGGCTACTACATTAAATATCTATATGCAATAATCAACCAGTAATGACTGGGCATATTAAACAATAATACTGTACATTATCATTAACTTACCTCATCTTCCTCCATGGTCTTGATAGCTAAGAAGTATGCTGATATGGCAATACATCTTAGATATTTTGGTTTAACCTGAAAAATAATGTTATAATATATATTTGAAAATGTAGTAAAATTTATTAGCAAAAAGTGGGAAAGCCAAATCCCCCTAAACCCCAGCTCCTCCCTCTCTCTGTGGTACCTATTGAGGTTTTGTATTTGTAATCACACTGAGCCAAGTAGAATAAAGTACATTAAAGATGGATTGTGTAGTCCCAGAAAATATCCATACCCCACCAAACTAAGGAAATTGGAAATTCTGGAAGGGAGGGGGATCAGAGAAAGGAAAAAATTACAGAGTACATATGAAAGAAAATTGAAAGTTCCTGGGGGTAGGGCAGTCCTTTTACAAATTCCCTTTGTGGTGGGGGTATGGATATTTTCTATATAACTAGTATAGGACCACTCTTACCTTGACCAATGAAAGGAATCTGCCTAAAATGCTAACAGTGAGGGAGAAGGTATCAGGAAGGTATTCAAAGTCTTGGTTCAGAAGCCATATCCAACGAACAGTCTTATCATGAAGTGATGGAGTTATTTCACTTCCCTGGTAACAAAGGAATAATACGATTCAGCAATGAGTCCAACAAAGCTTTTCAAAACTGGACAGTATGGCTTTAGATAACTTTTCCCACATTATATTTGTTTGAGAATATTTTGAATAATAACCTATTATTTCAAGACACGTGTGACACAAGTGATCTATCCTAGTAACGCATATTACAACACTCAAAAGGCATCTAACAACTACTATAACCGAATTATTTCTTAAGTTTGGCCTTTTCATACATACATATATATTTATTTATATAGCATTACCCCTTGCAATACACTTTGGACTCTGTTAAAAGGGTACATGTTTTCTAATTATACTTCTTAACACCTTTCAATAGTCTACCATATGGTCACTATATAATAGCCTTAAGAGTCAATGTAAATAAAGAACTCCTGCAGGTTTTCGAATAACAAAACATTTTTGATTATAAAATAATAGTCCTTTCCATTTGACAGATGGATGCGTCTGGCCTCTTTTGATTTCCAGAACTCAAGAAAATTTAACTCGCAAATTTGAAATTTGTTTGTTCTTTTTCATTATTACGAATCTAACATAATTCCTGAAAATGGAAAACCATACAATAGTACAATAGTTATAAAGCGTATGGCACGCGCTCGGGTTGTTTATTGTTTCAGAAACAGGCACTATTTTATTACAGGAAACAGGGTTATTTTTTACTACCTTTTTTAACCTTTAACCCATAAAAAATGGTTGAAATATTTCAGACCAGAAAGTGACTAACAAGAATAAAAATAATCGTCGCGGACTATATCAAAATATTAAATACAAACACAATAATCAGTTTATAAATAAAAAGAAAGAAAAAGAAAAAGAAAGTCTTAAAAAGTTGAAAATCATAAAATTTATATGAGGAAAATATCTTGTAGTATAATCAGATTTTTTCCCCCGAGGCCATTAAATTTTCAACGAATGGAAGAGAGCCAGCAAAGGACGTGAAGGGTTCGATTAATTTTACATAAATTATTACGCCATCGCCTTAACATCTTACAAGGGGAAAATTGTTGCGGGCTTGTTCGTTCGGATTAATATTTCCGCAATGAGAGTTTGGGATATAATAAACCCTTATCACTGGCGATTATTTTGACATAAATGTTAAGTAGTTTTTGAACAATATCCAATTTAATGTACAGGTTTGGGACTTTAGTCGCCATTTTGGATAATAATGAAATTCATAGATCTCATGACGATCGGTTGACGTCCTAATCCAACTTTAAAACAGCTTAAAATATTATCTCAGTCCATCATTAGCAAAAGAAGAACCAAAATTATTTCACTTAAACTTCATGTAACGAAACATTAGCGTTATTTTCGATTTATAAGTAAAAATACCTTGATTTGGAGTGCATGGAAGATCTTGGTCGCAATATGAAATTCGCCATTTTCTTTTCGAATATTTTCTTCCAGAACATTTGCAAGCCTTTCAGTGTTCAGTTTTGGAACAAAACACATAGCTTGCCTCCTTTTGCATGACCCGGGAGAAAATCGGGAGAGATTTCTCCGCTAACTGCATCAGAAGTGAAAAATATAAACTGTAAACAATGTCACATCATACAAAATTCAAAAAAATCCAAGGTACAGAGTATTATTTCATGTCATGATTCCCCCTCAGTTTGGCTTTTTTTGATAAACAACATTGTCTCAAACAATAAGGAATAGTTATTCCTAAATTCCCTACTAAACATATGTGTTTTCTTACCTTGGTTGGTCAAGAAAAGAAGGTTTTTTAATAGCTTCGACAAAAAATTTTGAAAGATGGTCGACGAAGCAAAAGAGAAAGTGCTTTGTGTACAATGATGACATTCCAATGTAAGAGGATTGACAGGTCCTTTCCACCAATCACTGACTACTATTCAATCACGTGTATCTTAATCTAAGTCATGTGATGAGGTACTGCTTGACAAGCCCATGACGTCCTCAAAAATATAAGGGAACTAATTCTACAGTAAATCATTTTTCTTTGTTAATTTTGTTTCAAAATAATGGAAGAATAAATAGCGAAAAGCACTAGTGCGAATGATTTCTAAAGACTAAAGAAAAAATACCTTTATTCCCGTATTTCCGATCTTTGAGACATTCCATAAAAATCTCAGAGGTAACCCCCGAGACGCCCTTTTGCAATTGACGTCATTACATTAGTATACTTGACCAATCAAGAGAAGAGGCTTTTTCAAAGTTAACCAATCAGATTGTAGGAAATTTTAAAAACATTTTGGCGCCCAAACTTTTTTTGGTTGAGTCCCTTTGTTTGTTTACATCCTTACAGTTTCGCTGTCAAGGCACAGCCAGCGAGCGTCAAAGTAATAATGGAGCTCTAGCTCTTTCTAAAAACCCTCCGTCTTTCACTCTAAAATAAAATGAGTTCACAGTAAATCTTTACAGTTCGAAGGAAAGAAAGTCGTGTTCATAAAGCTTTTTGGTTCTAGGAAAGGTAAGTTTTAGGCGCCAAAATATAGCCGTATTTCTTTGTCGCAAAAACTTTTTTGAGCTTTATTTATACCGAGCGGTTTTATGTCAACTAAAAAATCTCTTCTTCTGCCTTCTTCATGCACGGTTGATTCTTGTTAGTGTTAGAAGAATGTTTCTTCGTTGAAGCTTTTGGTTTTTATAAAAGGAGAACGCTTTTCTTTGTGCGAGCTGTGCTAGGCGCGATAAACCGTTGGCAGTCAAGTTGTCTTGAGAAAATAAATTTATATATACGCCTAAAGTATGGCGTAACGCAGATATTTAGCTCATGTTCTAAGAGAATATTGCTTAACCTACCCAGACCAGTAGCTTAACGGAACAGGTTTTCTTTGAAATTGCGAGAAACGTTTGCATCTTCTGTTTGACAAGACGTCGGAGCGCAAAGCGAAGTACACTTGCATAACGAAACAAAGATGGGCTAAACGGTCTTGTTGACAGTCGATATTTTTTGTACTTTTTTGGACGAATGATATGACTACAGGAGTACTGGTTTGTTATTTTCTATTTCTTTGCTTCTAAATTCTCTTTTTCTGAGAGGTATTTAGCTTTTTAATGATTGTCGAGAGTTCAATTTTATGCATAATAAGATACCTTTTCCGTGACATGATAATTTGTTTATACGTGGACACGGACACGAAAATGGAGAATATTGTGAAATTCAGTATCCTTCTGACGTTAGTCTTGAAGATATACTTAGTATTTTCATCACGTCTCTGAAACTATCGACAGAAGATTGACTATTTGCCGAAAAAAGCTCTAAATTTATAGGCCCTGAATGTTTGGTTCTGTCTATCCAACTAGATAATTCTTGTCAGAACAAGGACATGAAACAGCTGATTTTTTTGTGTGAATTGTTTTAGTTACATTCGTTGGGAGTGCAATAACCTTCGTAAATGTTTTCTACCTTTGGCGACATGCAATCTTAATCGAAGATTTTTATAAAGGGAATCTTGTCAAAACCTCAAAGCTTAAGATAAAAGAAAAATCTCGAATTTTGTATAACGTTCGTCTCAGAATTTTACGATTCAGTTGTTCTGAAACATTATTTTCGTTTTATTATTGTCGAACTACAAACAGCTCTGGGTTATCGCTGCTCTGGTATTCCTATCTGCAGAAAGCTTTCTACAATACTACAGGTATAAAAATACTGTATAATGAAAAAAACTCAGAAAAAATCACCAAAATAGAAACACTATTTATTCTCAAAGGTATTGTTTAGAAACACTTTATGTATATTAATGAGAACATATTATTCTAAATCTAGATGAAGGTCCCAGGCGGTCTGAATGCACAGCGCTTGATTGCTGTTCTTGAAGACGGATTACTGAGAGAAGAAAAATATCAACCAAATCTAAAGTGCTTGGCTGGAAGAAAGGTTTGCAAAATACATTTTTTATCTATTTGTTTGGAAATTTTATCTGACAATGTACCCTTGGACTTGAATTTTTGGTTTGACCTTTGAACTAAAAATCCTTAATGGTATTGTTTTCAATTTCAAACAGGGAGTGGCATTCTTTTGCTTACAACTAATAATGCCTATGCAATAATGAAGGCCATTGACTTTCAAAAATAGAAACTTACTTTAGAAAATAACTACAATTATCAGAAAGAGCAAGCAGGAATGTGAATATTTAGAAAGTTTCATTATGATTGATAACTAGCTGACATCTCCACCAATCCTCCTGGCTCTACTATCCCTGACAGTTTGACATACCAACAGTCAGTACACCATTCATGCAAAATTCTAATATATATATTTTTTTCCAATTTAATTTTTTTGTAGGATTATGATGAAATCAGTTTCTTTCACCGCAACAAGATGGCCTCTCTTCTTCTACACCTGAACAGGCATTGTAGCTTCCATCCAGAAACATTTGCACTGGCTGTGAATCTCCTAGATCGATTCCTAACCGTTGTAAAGGTACTGAATGTTACACATAGTTGTTAGAGAGAGAAGAGGGCTTAAAAATTGGATTTTTTGTATGGAACTCTCTTTCCTCCCCCAATCCCAACAGCAAATAATAATGAAATCTGGTGTTAAATTTATTGTATGGCATGTTGCCAGAGGACAATAGAACTACTCTGCTCCAATCAAGCATTCTGAGGAAGGCTATTGTCAACATAGCCGAAAATTCAAGTCATGTTTTCTATTAATTCTATTACTGTTAAAACCTTATTTCAATATGTTTATAAATATTAACAGGAAATATTTTTCTTTACACTGTAGGCAAATCCAAAGTACCTTCCTTGCATTACCATCAGCTGTTTATTTTTAGCTGCAAAGATTGTGGAAGAAGATGAGGTTGGTAAATTGATAATTATTGTTAGAATTTCCATACCCCACTATGGAGGGAATTTGTAAAAGGACCCCCCTACCTCCAGGAACTTCCAATCTCCTTTCATGCAAACTCTGTAATTTTGTTCTTTTTTCTGAACCCCCCCTTCCCCTCCAGACTCTCCAATTTCCTGCTTAGGTGGGGTATGGATATTTTTTCTGGAACTATGCAAAAACACACATTATTCATAGATAGCCCTTTTACTTCCTGGTAACTTCAGTAATTTTTTTTTCGATTTTAGATAAAGTAAATCAAAACATTTAATATTGTCTATAATGCAATCTGTTTTCAGGCCATACCAACAGCCGGTGACTTAATAACAGTTAGTGGTTTAAAGTGCACACCTTCTGACCTTCTGCGTATGGAAAGAATCATACTTAACAAATTGGGTTGGAATCTTAATGCCATCACACCACTTTATTTTCTTCAAGTGGTAAGTGTAGTGTTGGGATACTGTGTCAGTTTAGATCATAATAATATCCTATTCCATCTTCCTGGTTAACAAAACACCATAGTAAGTCTTTGAAAACATGGATGTGTAATGTTTGCCTGCTCAGCTGTCACCTCTTGGGTATTTCCCTTGGGCTTTCTCCAGGTTCTTCAGTTTCCATTCCTCTGCAAAACCTAACTAGCTAAATTCTAATATAATCTGTGCGTTCAATTTGCCCTGCCCTGTCCTCGATAAGCCAAGAAGTTGTTTACAGGGTATCAATAACATTTCAAAGGTTGTTTATATACTAATGGATTGAATATTGGTTGCCTTTCAGTTTCATGCACTGTGCGTTTCAAAGGGATACCTGAATCACTGCAATGTCTTGCAACATCTCCAACATATCACACTAAAACTTGAGGAACTGTTATGTAATCACTATTTCACATTTCTTAAGGTGGGTAATAAGAGTAATAATTATTGATATCATTATCCAACACCCAAAGTAGAAAATTAACTATTATATGTACTCAATTTTTTTTTACTTTTCTTTTTTATTTCAGCCTTCTACCCTTGCACTTGCATTACTGAGCAATGAAATAAGTTTTATAACTGACAATTGGGCAGATGCTACCATCATGTTGCAAGAAATGGCAAAGGTATGTTCACTTTCATGACTATAAAGAATATACACTAGTTTTTTTTACCAAAACCAATTCAAATGGATTCTGCTGGATTTTAAGCTAAGCATATTCATGGTAAATACTTCTACAAGTAACCATGTTAGAATTTCAGTAGTGAGTTTACATTTTCTTTTTGTTTTAGACATCTGAATCAGAGCTGAATGATGCAAGAATCAGCATTATGGATATTGGTGATTCTGTTGTTTCAATTGACCAGTGTTTCCAGATGTTCTTGGTATCACCTGAAGACTCACAAGATCTCTCCATCTCTCAGAACTCACATAAGGTACAGATCCAGAAAAACATGTTTTAGGATTCCCAATTTACAGTAATGAAAAAATATTCTTGTGTTGTCATTATTATGGGTGGCTTAGAGATGTACCGCTCGCCTATCACCACTGTGGTCTGGGTTTGAGCCCTGGCTTGGGCTAGATCATATGTGAGTTGAGTTTGTTCAACGTGATCTCTCCCATGTCACAAGGATTTTTTATTCAGGTTCTCTGGATTAACATGTGAGTTGGAAGTTGTATGCATAAAACATTTAATGTAGTGGTAGTGTATGTGATTGACAGTGGGCCAAATTGAAAACCAGTATACATATACTGAATTTGTATCCCACCATTAAAGTCATTATTTTATTTATTTATCAGGAAAAATATTCAATAATGTGTCTATCCAATGTTTATTTTAGTATGTTTACTAACAATGAATTTTGCAACTATTTTCAGATGATTCAAGAAGGAAAGAAAACGAATAAAGCAAATGTAATAAAAGTATCAATCAAGACTGTCTAGCTATTCTGCCCACTCTAACCTGTGTTCATAGTTAGCTGTACTATCATTATTACCATAGACTTCACTAAAACTATACAACATACATATATGAATTATATGAAATTTTGTATTGCAATAGTAGTTTAGATAGGTTTTTAGATCTTAGTGCAATTTTAAAAGATCACTTATTAGGGGAAAAATGAAAGTTTGAACAGTTTTTACAATTGGGGATTTTACATTTATTAGTGGTTTTTTTTACCAGAAAAACTGAGCTCATCTCAATCAAAAGAGTAATCCTTTTATATCATTTTGTAAGATTTGTACAAGTTGCAATATCTTAGATTATTTCAAGATGCTAGYGTTTTAAATAGAAGATATCAATGGAAGAACAGCTTAAGATCTTATTGAGATAAAGTGTGAATATAATAATGAAAGTATAAGGTAAGGTTTTAGGGACTTGTTGTGAATACATGTAAATTTGCAATTGTTTTATATTAATACTTATTAGTTAATGTACATTATATCAAGATAAAACCCATGTACAGCTATTTATAAAAGAAAATTGTAAAAAAAATTATATAATAAACACATTTCATGCAAAATATTACTTTTAAGTCTTGATATTAAATATATACAGAAATTGGAAAAGGAGGGTAACCATTTTCGTAAGGCTGTTGCTAATGAGAAGAGTTTCCTAGCCTGCTCACAATTTAAGAACCAAAAAATATATATTGACAATCGTTAAAGGGAAGACAAGTGAAGCAGGATGACTACATGTCTTGATGTCAGAAGTCATAAAACTGGAAAAATGCTTTTGAATTTATTGAAACTTTTTTGGTGCAATACAGGCTTTGCACCATAATGTCATGACAGGAGGCAGGAACAATGGAATCTGGTCTAATCTGATTTACTTGAGAAAGAATTCGAACCGGTTTGAACCCAGGTGTTGAAGTTTGTTGTGAAGAGTGATGCGACGACCATCACTCTTCACAACAAAGACTATCTCTGTGCCTCATGTCATGGCTGCCATGGGTGCAAAGCTTCTATAGACCTCTTTAGATTGGTGTTCGTCTTTCCCATTTCAGAGCACATGTCATTTCTTTGAGAAATAGGATTCCTTATTTTGCATCCAAACAAAATAATGATACCCAAGGGTATGACACGTGGTCTGAGACGGGCAAAACATTACACCCAAGCTAAAGAGATGTCATGGAATTGATGTGCTTTTTCAGTGGAGATAGAGACAGCTAGGCATGTGCAACAGTCAGCTTGCTTCCTTTGGATGACGTTCTGATCACAGGCGTGTATCATTAGAATTTTGTGCCTCTATTACAGATATTTGGTTATCTATACTTGGCGCCTTAGTTTTACTATCATCAACTGAAAACAGACAGTTAGCATTAGTCAACACTGACAGTTCCTATGCAGAGATGCTTTCTCCATATTTTTGAGAAAATCCTTAGCAAAAAAGGGGATTCGCTAGCCTCGTGCGTAGACCTTTTTAGGGTCGTCACGTCTTCACATAACGTTTCTCTCACGCACACAGGAAAGAGTCGTTGCGTGACGACCTTATGAACGTCTGCGTAGGAGGCAAGGGATTCACAGGCACCCATTGAACCTCTCCCAGATCCGCGCCACACACATCTGACATGTTATATAACAGTACCTTTTCTGTGTGAACTTTTCCAGTGATGAACTAATAGAGCTACTAGAGAAAGTAACGCTGAAGAACCCGTCACCAGGGGAAATGCAACCCGTATGTACTCTCCACAACCACTGCAGCTATGAAAACGTCAAAGAAAAAATATGAGGAAGGTAGCAACAAAATTTAAAGAACTAACAAAAATATTAAAAATTGCCGACAGTGGCATTTCCCTCTTACTGCTTTCTTTGCTGTCTTCTCCTCTTCTTTCGTTCCTTACCTGGACTTTTTTCTTTTTAGGTAGTCTATAAAATGATTTCCCGTTCACTTACCCTTGTGCTCTTGGATAGTAATTCTGTATAACTGCGACAATCGCACCATTTACGACCTTGTCCGTAAAGCCCATCACCCCATACACAAATGCTCCGGTTGCCTAGAAACCACAAAGACTGAGTCAACACACTGTTAAAACCGTAAAGGTGCTATTGCACTAGCCATGTTTACATGTTAAACTAGTTGCTGCATGATTTCTGAACGAGTTGCTGCAAATAGGGAACTCGTCCCTAGCCTGCAGCAACTTGTTCCTTTTTTGCATCAACTCGTCTAAAGTGCTGCATGTCCCTTTTTTGGGCCAATGTACTAAGTTGTCTAGTGTAACACCATTCCTGCAACTTATCTCGCAACGCTTTGCATGACAACCAGATGACAACCAATGATATTTCATCGCGCGTCGGTAAATCATTTACCGCCCCAGATAATGCATGACAAAAGTTGCATGAAGCATTGTCATATTTTATAACATACCCTGTCGATGCAAATGCAACGCACTGTTTTTTATTGCGCAAGACAATTGCGATATGCATTGCAATTAGATGTAAATACCTTATCCACTCGGTTAATCATTACAGAAGTCATCGTCAATGCAGTAATCAGCATCATAGACGCTCCCCCTCCCATCAGCATCGACGTACCATATATGGCATTCTTGCTGTCGATTGGCTGCAAATGAAGCCATAAAAAGGCTGTAATAGCCATGAGCGCGGCCACACTGTAAGCCACTTTGGTTCCCCAGCGGGAGCTTATCTTCCTCGCTACTATACTGAATAATGCTGACGATATGAGAACCAGGAGTGGGAAGTATGCAATGGCTTCCTTGGAAAGAAATGAGAAATTCGATTATTTGTGGGTGGACCTCTATTCAAAATTTAATGGGCGCATTTTATAATATTTGAAAATATGTTAAAAACATGCAATTGTCATCTTTCGGGTCGCAATTTAGATCGGATGGGTGGGGTTATACCCGGTTCCCCAACACAACTGGAGGTGATACCCTGGATTTTGTCTTCAAATATATTCAAAACTAAAAGTAAAATCGCAGAAATGAATGTATTGTCTGTTTGTTCGTATGCTTTACAACGTATTCGTGTACTGAAATAGTCACTACCGACACCCAGTATCGAGCATAGGTCTCTGACTGGTATGGGATATTTCATGGTATTAATCATGCAATAGAAGCAGGTCCCTTATTTGGAGCACCGTTTTCACCTTGTCCTTAACTTTACCTTTTCAAAACCCAAAGCATCCACCAAGTACAAAGGAAAGTATGAATTGGATATATTGACAACGACCCGCGAACACATGTAGATGAACGCCACCTAGAAAACCAAAGGACGACCATCAGACAAAAACAGGGAACTAGTAAAGGGAAGTAGCCCTGAAAGATGGCTACCGGAAGCAAATTCGCACTTATGTTAACCTAATTAGCATTTGATGTTTCATCCTTCCCAAGTGTACACGTCGCGCGCGGCAATAAACAGCTGGGTTTTGGCGAGCTCATGAAAATAAAGTTGTTTTTTTTTGAAGGCGATGATATCATAGACCAATTCCTCCCTCCCTCCCTCTCTCTTTGTAGTCCCTTATTACCAGTGGATGTTATAATTATTTACCATATAAAACTCAGATGTTTTAAACCAGTTTGTTATCTTTATATTCCCAATTGGAGTGCTGTCTGCGTCTGCTATCGTTCTCTGTGGTGTGTTTTTGTTGTCGTTGTTTATCAAATCTTGGTTGAAATCTGCGACCTCTTTCACGTCATTTCGAGCAATCACCTCCGTAGCCTGCGTATCGTCTGTTTCGTTTTTAACCTCCACTTTACTGGGGTTTGTTTCGTCTTCTCTGTATCCAATATTACACCTCGATTCTTTGACTAGAAAGAAACAGATAGACAAAGAGAGAGAACAGTTAAGCCATATCAATATAGTCAGTGAGAAAACTCCAAGTTATTCAAGTTGGTCTTTATGAGTTCATACATTTATTGTCAATTATTGTCAATTATAAAAAAGAATGCGAATGTTGTTAGATCCCCCAATATAAGACATTTTTTCGACGCAGCCGCGAAAGGCATTTAGTTCTGCCTACTAAGGATCGATTACCTCAGTAATACGTTTATTCAAGAAATTCCTCCACATCGATCGCATGTCAAAGGATATTCGGATACTATTTACTTAATGACTGAGTGGGAGGGCCGGACTGGAAAATATTTGGCTCGAGGTCATGTCGTATACGGATCGAGCGCAGCGAGGTCCGATACAAATCCGACCCCGAGCCAAATCTTTTCCTGTTCGGCCCGACCTAACTCAGTCAATAAGCGTTTTATCATATGACCCAATTTTTGTATAAAAAAAGGATGAAAAACCCTGCTAAAATTGATAAATATAGGACTCGTAAACGAGGAGGGCCGGACGGGTTTTATCGGTCTGCTGTCGTCAACCCGTCCGGCTCCTATCACGTGACTTTTTCCAAATGTTTTATTGGAGCGCGCGAGCAGTGCCGTACGGGTCATATGATAGAACAAAATATGCATTCTTACCTTTAGCGGTTCTAGTGCTCCCTTTACTGTTTTTTATCCTGTTTTCGTTGACACCAATGTAGAACACGACAGTGAACGAAAATCCCACAGCGATAATAATGAAACCAAGGTACTAAGTTAAATCAGAATGCAAGCATGTTAGTAAGGCTATATAAATATACTGACAGTATTGGCAATGTATATATAACAATAGAATGAGATTAGGCCAGTTGCACTAAAAGAAAAAATCCAGAGGCGCTTTTTTGTGTATTTTGGAAACCTGGTTTCAAAAATTGCGACTGCATAGCATCTATGGATGATTGTTTGAAGCGACAAGGACTAAGTCACATGACTTATTAGGAATTATGTGAGCCACGTGATATGTATGGGGAATGCATTCCGGCCCTCCAAAATGGCGGGTATTCATTAAGAAGCAATCATTAATACCATAAATTCTTTCCATTGCTTGGAGGACAATTTCTCTCCACTGCTTTCTCCAAGAAGGAGCCATGTCACTGCATAGACAAACATGCCACTGATAAATGTCCACGTTGTCCTAAAATAATGAATCACACAACCCAAACGTTAAAATTAGTTGTATGGTGCACTCGCCTCTCACCCGTAAAGGTTTCTCGGAATCGATTACTGCCTTACTCAGCATCTCAAAGGAGGAGAATTTGCAAGGGTCTATCTTTTCGTTTGAGAAAATGTCTGCAGTTTCCGTTACGTTCCTCACTCCGCAAAACATAACAAGCATAATTCCAATTTGATCTATGAGTTAGCCGTGTCCTGGCTTTGATGAGCCCAGAAATTAGGATTCGATAAACGTAAGGGTTTTTTTTCACCAAGTTTAGCGGCTTACGTGAAAAGATAGAAGATCACAGCAATGAGGGACAAAAAACGAGACGAAAACAGCCATTAAAGCGAAATAATAACAATGTAAAGGCAAAAAGGTTAACCTCAGTCGAACTTCCTCCAATTGAATTTGATAAACACACAGAGTGTGAAGAAAGTCACCTCCACATATTGATGTAGACACACTGCATGCATGTGATGCACGTCTCCGACTGGACCTTTGCCAAGCAAGAGCTGAGTTAATGATACGTGAGTCAACGTCTTTGAGTCTCATTTGCAATCTCGAGCCGAAACTATCTTGCAAAACCTGGCCAGAAATAACTATATCCTCCCCTATTTGATCGCACGTTAAACTTTTATCTCTTTTTCGTTCATACCAATTATAAAATCTGCCGTAGTACGGGAAGCGTCTACTCATAGTAGGAGCCTTCTTGGATTAGGAAAAGCTATTCCACAAGTGAGACGAAATACAGGCTGTGGACGTAAGTCAGCATGAGCACAGCATGTAGTAATCCAATAGTTATGTTGGAATTATGCATAGGCAGCACAGGCTAGCACTAAAACTATTAAATCTGGTTACTATCGATATTATATGTCAATGAAAGTGTGGTAGTGTTGAGGCGAGGACAGGGGTGGGGGGTTGGGTGGGAAGGGGGAGTGAAGAAGTATGGCACGTTATCAGAATCGTAAAATGTTAGACTTTTCTTGAGTATAGGTGAGAGCAGATAGATGGACAAAGACAAGTCAGACGCATTATTTTATAAATGAATCATTGCTTTAAAGTTTATAACGTTTGAAACGTACGCTAGCTTTTGGTAAGGAGACGCTGTCGACGCCGTTGAGAGATGCTCTCAACAACATTTTCAGTATTACATAATATATATGTATATGTTCTCTTCATGATCTCTTCCCTTGCTAAGATCGATTTATGATATGTTGAACTATCAATGACTTTGACAATACAGCTATTTAAACTACAAAGATTGTTGAAGGTTTTGTTGCGTGAATGTTGCATATTCAGTTGTTTACTACGAGGCTTCAAATGCATCATATTCATATGTGAATAATGTCAGCGCGGAAGAAAATATATCAGAAAAGCGTGCAGACAAAGTTTCAACATGCAAAAAATGGAAAATTTTGAATAAAACTTCATTTTAAATAACCATATAACTGAACCGTATACTTGAATGCACTATGTTCGAAGTTTGCGCGCAGCACACCAAAACTTTCCACAAGGCAGAAGCACCTAGTGATGCCTTCATCGACAAACCCAGTGATCTTGCAATGCCATGAATAAAACTGTATACATTAATGGCGCAAATAATTATCGATTAAAAAAATATAAGTCTATAAATACCTGGAGGAGTTGAGGCGCACGAAGTCGTTAGGCTTCTTAGCAATATCCGGTAGAAGTGCCAAATGACTTATCTGAACTGCGGCAAATCCAAAGTGAATAGCTATGACAATCATTGAGTAGTATGTTATAGCTACCGTCTCGTAATTATCCCCAGAGGTCACTTCGCAAAGAAGACATCTTACGAAAAGAAATGGCGAAAAGATCAATAGTACGATCGTACCAAACATGTGCCATGCCTTTCGTTTGCCAAACCTTGAGAGAAGGGGAAAGTCGTACCGGTCGCATGCGTAACCTATTGCAGGGCTGAGGATCCCGTCTGTTACTTGCGCCACGAGAAAAATAATGCCGGTGCTTGAGTTTGACAGACCTATTACTTTAGTCCAGAAAACTAGCAAATAGCTGAAGGCTGCATATGCCTGGAGATCATTTTGTATGTGGCCAATAGAAAAACAAAATCGTTGCTTGGCTGTAAGTCTAGTTACCGCGTCGGGCTTTGAAAATTTCTCTTCATTTTGAATTACTTCTTCGGCTTGGTCGTATTCTTGGATTCTTTTGTCTTTTTCTTGATAGGGAATTATTTGAATACCTTGAGCATCTTGACTACTATCAACATCTAGTCTTAGCGCCATCGTCGTAGTCTTACTTCTACTCACTCGACCAGTTATGATATCAGTTCACAACCAGGACCTACGGTCAGTTGGCATTTATGTCATCGAAGCACCATCAGAAGAATTGACTCAGTGGGGAATATGAGTAGCTGCTGCTGTCAGAATGTCATCATTGGAGTAAGAGTGTATATTGAGCTTTGCTGCTTGGCTCTGAAGTCACGCCAGATAAAATATCGTCGTATTCAGGGATTGTTTGAATTCCTTCTGGCTTAATTTTGCCATTGAAACTAAAGCTTACTTTTTTTCCTTTTCGATTGAAGAATTGGCAAGAAAAATGTTGGTAAAACTGGAGCCATTCAGGGTGTGCATTGTCTCAAGCGTTAGATCAGACGTATCATAATTCATAGTAAGAGCCATTTTAATTGCTTGGCTCGTACAAGTCGTACTAGTAGCCAAAGGCGAGAGAGAAACACACATCCTGATTTTCTATACTAAACTTTTCGTTTTCTTTTAAGAGACTTAACGTATGAAACCTGTATTTATAGAGTGATTATTTAGAGTATACAATCAACTTAATTTAATTAAGGTCTGTCAACCTTGCTAGACTGACTGAGTGACCTATACACGTGGACAGCCCGTGCATCTCGTACACGTGTCAAACAAATGAGAGGTGGTGTACGTGATGACTTCTTCTATAAAAGGAAACAAAATTTGAGTAGTGCGATTTTCGAAGTTGGTAACCTGCAATATTTTTTTCAATGGTCTGCGTAGACTGCCAAACGAAGAAGTCTCCGTATTACCCTCTTATTCACATACAACAGACCTTTCCCAGATCACTTGAGTGAAAACGAAAAAAATGGTTCCGACAGATTTGCAACTTGATTTGTCTTTACTGTATTTAAGAAGTCCAACCTCGGCTTAAAACCATTGTTTCTTGGTCACTCAAGCGTATTTGGCAAAGGACTATACCCCTTGCATTACGTCGGAATGCAATAGGTTTCCAATTCTCACGACGACTTAAATCTTTTGGCTTTTCCCCCCTCCAAATTGAGCTGCTTTGACGTCACATGCAAGGGGCCTATTATTCGGCGTACGTAAAGACTCAACTGGAGGTGGTGCTGGGGTAGGGGTGAGGGGTGGAGCCAGAGGTCTCCTTTGGAATTCCAGTCGAACGCTTGCAAAGGAGGGCTACCAGCGAGGATCATCACCATAGCGATGGGTTGGAGGCACTTACCAGCAATAGTAGCAATAGACCCCTTCACAGTTCCCTGCGCCATCTTGAAAGATAGCCGTGCCTTTGCATCGCAGCGAGGTGGGCTTGCAATGATAGAGACATGTGAATAATTGTCCAAGGTATTAAAAAAGGTCTCTATCATTGCAAGCTCACCGTTCGTCTCGCTTCGACGCAAAGGCATGGCTACCTTTCAAGATGGCGCAGGGAACTGTGAAGGGGTCTATTGTTTTTATCTTATCATAGTATCAACTTATAAAGTCCCGACTTAAAGTCAAAAACAGAGAAAGTAAAATATCAATAGAGCAAAAACCAGAATACAGCCAACATTTTATTTTTAATACATTTTATCAGTCTTAGCTATAAAATTGTTTGCATTAATGCTTTGGTTAAGTAGCTAGAACGCTACCAGATACTCGAGTTCAATATCATACAGGTCATCATTTTGACTTACTGTCAACACTAAAATGAAACGATTAATTTGTGAAGGCCCGGACGAACCGTGCAACTGTTGCGCTAAACGATATCTCGGAAGAAGAAAACTACGAAAAGCGACTCGATTCTGGCCAGCGGCATCGACCAAAATAATTGAATTTGTTTGGCTAAGAAATATCTTGCCACGCTTGTGGATGCGCGTGACGGTGCGCGCAACAGTTCCACTGTATATCCGCTATCTTCAATTCTTCTAGGTGCACGTGACGTATAGCCGCCATTTTAGTTGACTTTGACAAAAGATGTGGTCTTGGTGTCTCCGTACATGTCAACCAACATGGCGGCCACGACTTTTGTCCTTTAATTCTCACGGGAAGGGATGCACGTCTTCAATAAATTATTTCATTTCGAGAATATTAAATGACCGCATAATAAACCAAGGCCCGCTTGGGTGTTTCTTTGTTTTTGTTTTTTCTTTCTTGATTTTTTTTATTGTTGTTAATCTGATGTAAACAGTCAGTGGAATTGTTGTTAATTTAAAACGACGACGATGAGGGCGAAGACGATAAGGTATTCGGAGAGGGAAAAGCGCAGAAATAGTTTTTCTCTATCTATTTCGCAGTTCTGACCATGAATCTGCCAACAGATACTTCCGTATTAATTTACTAAAATATCCTCAAAATCCCATCACGTGATCATAGGGTTTTTTAATTTTTAACCAATAAGAACGCGCGTTTTTGTCGATGCTTGATTTTACTTAATTCGATAAAAAATGTTTTTTACTCGATGAATAATAAAAATACTACTCTGAAGAAACAATAATTCTCTTATCGACTGCCTGATTTGATGCTCAAAATACAGCTTGCGCTTCCTGTCAGTTCTTGCTGAAGTCCACAATTTTTGTATGCTACAGTTTTACATTCGCGTGCAATCTGCATTTCATTGCGCTCGTTCTCGCGTTTCCAAACAATCTCTTTCCATCAGTTAAATATATGTGATTTGTTGAAGCCTCCAAGCCTCTTCAGAGACCACTTTGAAAATTACCTTTAAATGCCAGGCTAAAGAGAAAAACTTTTAAAATAGCACAAATTCCATCGACAAAAAGTTTGATTTCTTTTGTATTTTTCTCCTTACATTCAAGATAATTTATAAGGGGACCTATAAACAACAGTTTTACAAAGTTAGAGATACATCTATAGGAACTGCATCATGCCGCCACCCTCAGGGAATCGTGAAGCAGCCGCTAGTAAGAGGCTCTACTGTACTTCAAAAAAAATTCTTAACTGCTGCAAAAACACTCAACTGAACAACACCGATTAGATGTATATTCTGTCTCTTATTGTTTTTATATTCATTTGTATTATTGCATGTATATTGTTTTTTGAAAATAATTATGACATTATTCTCCTTAACCTGTACATGACAACTAACCTTAATAAAGTTTTCGACTTTAAAAGTATTTGTAGAAGAATTCATTAAAATTTTTCAGAGAAAACGCCTGGAAAAAGTCCAGTTTTTCCATTGCGTTCCAGCGTGCCCTTGTACCATCCATCCTGTCTCTTTTTACTTACATAAATAATATCACCTACTCGTAGTTCTAATTCAGCATCACTTTGAGGAGGGTAGGGCATAATAGCACGGTATCTGGTATAGAAATAATGTGATTAACGTATACTATGCAACGATAATCCTATGATAATGGAGGTAGAAAAACATAATTGGGTGCGGTGGGGCAGGGTAAGGTAAGATAAAGTTGTGTCTGATAGGGAAGATTAGAGTAGGGTAGGGTAAGGTAGAGTGGAGAAGGGTGGGTTGGGGTGGGATGGGGTGGGTTGGGGTGTATAGGGTGGGTAGGGTAGGAAAGGTTAAGGTAGGGAAGGACATGGTTAGTGTAGAGTTGGATAGCGTCAGTAGGGTAGGGCACAGAAGAGTAGACTTTGGTAAGTTTGGATAGTGTAGGCTAGGCTAGGGTAGAGTAGGAAAGGGTGGAGTAAGGTAAAATAACTTATGGTAAGGTGGGGTAAGGTACAGTGCTGCATGGTTGGGTAAGGTAAGGTAGGCATAGGGAAAGGAAGGGAGAGGATGGACAGGTAGGACAGGGCAGGGTACATAGCATAGAGTGTAGATAAGGGTTAAATAATACAGGGTAGGGCATGGCATGGTGGGTTGGGTGGTGTAGAGAGGGTACTCATACCTTTCTCGAGGAGGAACATTTTCTTGTCTGTGATGATAAGGTCTTGGGGGCTGCCTGAGAACCTAATGGAAGTAGGTATTAGCAGTGATTTATCTGCTAGCTATGGTAACAGTATGGCTACATTTCAATTACAAAATTTGCCACTCTATTTCTTCTTGTGCAAGTAATTAGATTGCAAGTATAGAGCCAAACAAGAAAATAAGTGTGTTTCCTGTTGCATGAGAATAATATTTGGGGTCTGTAGGTCGGATTTTTTTTACTGATACAACAGTGGAAATGAGCTTACTGGGAACCCTGTGGTGCATTTGGGAATGAAAAAAATACTAGGGTCAATAAAATCGTCAAGAAAATTAGGGTCGGTCAGTTACTGATACAACAGTGGAAATGAGCTTACTGGGAACCCTGTGGTGCATTTGAGAATGGAAAAATATTAGGGTTGGCAAAAAAATTAGCGTTGTTTGTACAACTGAAAATACACTTATTCAAAAGCAAAATAACTTACCTGTCTTGGTGGTGGGGTTTGATTTGAGTAGGGAGGAGGAGGGGTGGTTCCTAGCACCAATCGGCTTGCACTTGATGTGGGCAAGTTAACCTGAGTATGTCCACTAGGTACATCTCTAAATGTATCAATAAAAAAATGACTAGTTATGATTTCATATTAATACCGAGCTCAAGAAAATGATAAAGAGTGAAACGCAGTCCCAGAGATGCTAATTACCCTTTCAAGCATGCAAAGATTGCTTGCATTTTCTGAAAATTCCATTGTTGACATCTACACTAAAATGTTTTATAGCCAGCATTTTCAAATTTTCCACTTTCGACAGCACCAGTTTTTAAAAAGTATCGTCCTCAGAGGTAAAAATGCTGTTTAGGTGTAGCAAAGGCCTAATTCCCTAAATTCCAACTTGATTGAGAAGCATAGGCAGTATGTACTAATAATGTGTGGCCACTCATGGATGTGGGTCAATCTCGCCAAGCTTAACTAAGGATAATATAGGATAATTTAGGTGGTTCTTACCTTGTGTATGGAGGAGGATGAGGAAGGGGGGGAGGTGACCTTGATCTTTCTTTCCTCTTGGGCTTCAGTTTCTTCCAAAATCCACCCTACGAAACAAACGAGAAAAAAATGCTTTGATGAATTCTACATAAATCTAAAATTGCCCCCATTACAAAGTATGTTTCAGTGAACATTCAGTCAAGGCATTTCCATGACATTTCAAAGGGACGAGGGATGCACACTTGAAAACATGGTGTTCCCGAAAATTTCATGCAAACACTTTGACTGGCATCTAACAAAATTGTGTTGATGTATGTTGCGATGGGAAATTATACAATACTGCATGTGCTATTGATTGCTGCTGTTTCCTTACCGTCTTTGATTCGGGTGGTGGGGGTAACAAAGGTCTTCTAATACCATTACTTTGGACTGCACCAAGTCCATTAACCTCGACATTGTTGTCTAAGTTAACTACTAAATTCTCATCATGTACATTTAGTCGACCATTAAAGACTGGGGCAGATTCTGAACGATGATAGTTCGGTCTCGCAGAAGTTGTCCCGTTGTTGATGGGTCGAGGGTACTGTCGTGGACTTGGTAAAGGTGCTGCCTGACTGTTGCTATTGCTTCGTGATTTTGTTAGTAAATTGTGAATGCTACAACAGAAAAAAAAAACTTTGAAAAATGAATTTTATGAGAATGTTATTCTTATCTAATCTAATGTGTTTACCACTCCTGGGTGGATGGCTTCTCTGGGTTCTACTATCTAGAAAACCTAATTTCAATTTGATCTGTGAGTCAAATAGCCATACCCTGACTTTAATCAGCATAGATTTAGTTTTTGGGTATCAATAAAATCGATGTCAATAACTATACCTGGCTAATCGAACATAGTTGCCAGGGAAAACCCCTCGCTTTTGGTTGGACAGGGAAAATCCCTTGAACCAACCATCTTTGCATTTCTCAATAACACAGTAACTCTCTCCAGCCTTCAGTTCCATCTCGTCTTCTTTCTGGGGTCTGTAATTATACAGCGCGATATATCTAGGGAACAAGAACAAACAGTGAAAACCCTTAACCCATACTCAAACATTAGCCTTGTTCAAAATCACCACAGAATACCAATAAAAAGCAGGGGGGAAAATTAAGTGTCAAACTGATGGAAATAAAACTTGAGAGCTTCAAGTAAACCGAGTGAAAGTTTAACTGGATAAATATTTTCACTTTTTTCAATTCTTTCAATAAAATGAAATATTCTTTTTTTCTTTAATTGTCTAGGGGGAGAGCACTTTCCCTTGCCACTCCTGGACTTATGAATTTCACAAGAAGATAAAATCGTTTAATAAATAGTTTTACACTTACAACTCTTTTCCCAGTTCTGCAGAATTGGGTCTTGACTGTCCAGAACTATTACTCGAAGCAGGCAGCACACTGGGTTCCCTGTGGTTTTGCTGTGTTTGGTTTAAGGGAGCCTGCGACACTTCTCTTGTCCTCCCTTCACCATGAAAATCAATAAGATCTCCTCCCCCTGTAGTTCTTTCTGAAGGTCGTGCAGGTCTCACTGCTGTCGTTATAGCAACCTGTGGTGCTCTATTTACGGCATGTGCATTGCAGTTCTCTCCATATGCTTCTTCAAGTCTCTCAGACGAGGTAATTTCTACCGAGTGTCTACTTGGAACTCTCGCTATATTTGAGTTTTGTTCTCTTTCTTCTAGTTCATGTATAGTGTGTCTCTTGGGAACTTTGTCCCTGTTTAATATCTTGGACTTCCTGACAGGTTTTGGGTGTGGTGCTGTCGCACCTGTCATGGTCATTTGGTTGGTGGATGATGATGATGATGGTAGAGATGATTGTAGAGAGATTTCTTCATTAGAACTGTTAGATAATTCTAGACTTTCAATGACAGCTTTGGCCACAGAATTAAACTGGAATAAAGATGAAAAATTATTATTTTTATCGTGAGTTTTATTATCTACTAACTCATTATTTGGTGTCTGGATAAAAATACAAAAATACCACAGGAAGTCCAATGGACCGTTTTCTCAAGATTGCGTGCGCATCCAACTTGATGGGCCATAAAACTGAAAAATGCAAATTCAGTAAAATTGAGAAGCCAGTTTTAAAGAGGATAATAATCGATTTTATGAATTCTTATCGAAAACATTTCATAGAAATGTATGATAATCAGGGTTCKTGCTACGTTTTCGTTACAAAATTCAAGGACTTTTTAAGCACTTCTCAAGCACAAAAATTCGATTTTCAAGGACAAAGTTTTTTGTATTAGAAAATGGTTTAAACATTGATTCAATGTTACAGTGCAGCTAATTCAGCCGGGGCCACTAGCTTAGATAAATAGATCTTTAATTTACGCATTCTTACAAGTACCCAGATATTCAGCTAGGCTATTTACGAAATATACAAAAACTCTTCAATCAATTTTAATCGTTATTTATTTCAAAAGGAAAGTTAGAAATAGCATTAAGTTTGCATTAAATTCAAGGAGTATCCCAGGAGTTTTGGCGTTTTTCCCTATTTTCAAGAGCTTTTCAAGCGCCCTTAAAAACGCGTTTTCAGTTCAAGGACTTTTCAAAGATTTCAAGGAGTAGCACGAACCCTGGATAATACTCATCATAAAGCTTCTGTTCTGGTATCATGGCCTGTCAAGCTATTTCGATTTGGATGCACATGTAACCTTGAGAAAACAGTCTATTGATGTTTCTGATATATCCTTCAACTCGGCAGTCTTCCATTATCATGTATCTTAGGCTGGTATGGATCATTTTATCACAAGTCCCTTACCTCGACGAAATTCATGGGAAATATTCCAAACTTTTTGTCTAATTTGCCTTCACACCAGTTTTCATCAACACGTTTCGTGACACTTATGATATCACCCTGAGAAGGAATAATAGGATGTAATATCTAAATTTATCTCATTTATCAAGTGATCACACTGATTAGAACAGTTTTCATAAGACTGTGAAAAGCTCAGGGCATGAACACAGTCATAACACCGCAAGGGATCTGCCAGACCAATAACATTGTTTGAGAATTTACTCTCCACCTAATCAAATACCGAGAACATGCCGCAGACATGGCCACACCAAAGTCACAGCACTGTTAGACCAATCATATTGCATGAGAAAAAAATCAGCCAATTAAAATTCTAGAAAGCATCACAGTCACAGTCACGGCACTGCACGCTTACAGCACTTTGCTTTTCACAGTAATGGGAAAATTGCTCTATGAGAGAGTTACTCAGTAAAGACCGATGGAAGTGGCATACCTGTTTAAAATTCAAAACATCATCTTCTTGAACCTCATCAAAATCATAAAGAGCCTTAGCAATAGGATCATAATAGCTGTCATCAAGGCATGGTAATGGATTAATAACCTATGTAAGGTGTAAGAGAATCAACAATCAATGGTGTCGGATAAAATTGTTATACAATATTGTTCACTAACAAATTTGTTCAAATTAAAACAAAGTTTTGTAGGTCTTCGGTTTATTGGGCTCTCTACTGAACTTACTAATTTGTGCAAATTTGTGCAATTTCTAACAATTTTTTTCATTTACATATGGTACACTACCATTATAGCTTAATAATTTGTAAAATGTTTACTTAGACTCTCTGACTGGTTTATGACCTTCAAAACTTAATGAATCCCTTGTACAGGACCCAAAAGCTACTCACTTCCACATAATTAGCAGGCAGAAAACCTTGTGAGCCCTTCACTTGTCCTTCATACCAATTTTCATCCACTTGTCTTACAAGAATAACAAAGTCTCCTTTGCTCAGTGCTAAATCTCTGTTGAAATATTATATCATAAATTAATTTTATCCCTTAGTGAGACATCTCAAACACTTTATGTGACGTCACAGCGCGGCCATGTTGGTGTACCAAAACGATACATTTTCTATCCTCCGGGAATTGAACTCTATTTTTATGCATAAATGATACAGAAACTTTCTATTGCTTGGTACACCAATATGGCTGCCTTCTCATGTGAGTGAAAAAAAAGTATTCATTGCATTCACTGCAATTTGCAATTTGAGAAGTGCCGAAAGCACTTGCCAAAGACTCATGCTTGTTGTCACGCATCTCTCATGTTTTTTATGATTCCCACATTCTAAATTAACTGTTCTACTTCCTAAATATCACACATAAAAAAACCTTATCCTATATATACTAACCCTGGCTCTTTTGGTTCATAATCATATAGCACTTTTGCAGAAGGCTCCTTTGGAATTTTCTATAAACAACATATAGATATAAGCTGGGATTATGACTTTGTTACACTGTATCACATCACATGCTACCATGGCCACAGGGTACCCAACTTAGATAAAAGTGATAAATGGAAATAAAATAAACCCTTGCTTTTTTTTATAATTTCTACACTTTAAGACAAAGCTAAGGTTTTGCTTATTAACAGCAATTATATATAATGAGGGGGGGGGGGGGCATAGGACTAGAGAAATAAATTTTTATTATAAATAAAACCAAGATAATATACATGTGCATAATAAATGTAGCCTGTGTTGCCCAGCAGAAGACCACAGACTGTGGAGTAACACAAGAGAGGGAAAGAGAGAAACTTCTAATAACGAGCTCGCCATGTAAAATTCTGGTTGAACTATTTTTAAATAACTGGATGAAGTTCAAATTTCGCCTTACCATACTCCTGTGCTTTTTCAACTTGAGTGCTCACTCTCTTTCCGTATTGTTTTAAGTGATCAAAATGCCATCAAAACAATAAACGGAAAGAGCACATTATACTAAGTAGCAGTAAGAGCAGGGAGCTACAACGTCATATACTTGGGTTCTTATACAATATAAGCAAGATCTCACAAGAAATTCTTTTGTTGGCCATGCTTAGTGAAGAGGAAATGTCTAATACACTGGAGCTCAAGAGGGGACTTAGAAATGTCACCGTACAATGTAAAGCCAATAACTCGCTTAAAACTAGTTAAACAATAAAACAAACAGTCAATTATCCCAAGTGTGCGCAAGTCTGAAAAACAGCACTCTAATGGGCGGTTAAAAGTTTTCCTTGGAATTATAATTAGTATAGATAATAATGCCTATGACAGGAAAGGAGGGTCGGTCGGTCCCTTCCGCTATAACTTTTGGACGACCTTCCACGAAAATCTATGCCTATTTTGCGGTAATAAAATAGCCTTTAAATAGACGGTTATAAATCAACGAGACCAAGATATGGGAGAATGAAAAAGCCGGCAAGCTGTGTCAAATGGATGTCGAGGTGATATATGATGAAAAGGCGAAATAAAAACATTTTATCACGTTTGTGGTAGGGTGATGATAGACAGGTATACATACTACAATAGACGGCATTGTATTAAATAAAGCAATATTTATCTCGTAAACCACTAGATGACTATCCACAATAAATTTATTTACTAACTTTATACAAAGCCTAACCTGCTTGCTAAAATAAATCTTGAAATTAAAGTCGGGATTAGTTAATACTTGGCAACCATGTTCGAGTGGGGAGCAACAAAAGTCAAGGTGAATTGGCAACAAGACGAGTTTTCCCAAGTACAGGAATTCTGTTACAAGACGTCCCACCTCCAATAAATCTTACCCCCGTATTCGAGAAAAGCATTTGTGATGAGATAGGAGGATTGTTCTTAATCATGTCTCCCAGGGAGAGTTAGTAAAACTGATCAAGACTGTCAGAAAAAGTTTGTTGTCTTTGAGGCCAAAGTCAAACATTCACAACACAACTTTTGCCCCCTCGAGATATCAATCAAAAACCCTCGACTATAAACAGTCAAAATATCATTCTTACCTGTTTTACTGACTTTTCTTTATCACAAACCGGATTCCTTCGATTCAGTCCTTCTAATATCCGTATAAGTAAAATGTTTGGAAGTAGACTGTCGATGTCTTCTTCGACCAAGACTCTACATTCGGGACAGCGCAGTTCTTTTCTCATGGATTGTATTTCGACAAGACATCTTCTACAGAACGTATGTTGACATGGCAGAACTTTTGAGGTGTGATCTAGTCTCTCTAGACAAACTGAGCACTCTAAAAGCTCACTTAATTCTTTATGATCCATACTTGTCCTAAAATCAGAACTTCCCGAGGCAAAGTTAGTAAAAAGTGCAAACAAGCTTTACGTAAGTTTTGGCATCGTCCTTGGATTGAGTTCCAACACCTAAAATATTTGGTCTTCAGATATCTTGATTTCTTCTTAAACCAATGGAATAACACAGAAGTTCCTCTAGTGATGTTTTTCGTGGTTCTGGAATTAAATTGTATTGTTTAACGGTGTACAAAGGCCATACTTCGCCGTTATTCGAGTAGTTCGTAATTCATTCTTGTCTTTCCTTCTGTGGTTTGTTGTCTTCATAGTACGCATGCCTACTACTCACCATAATTTATTTATATATTCTGATGTAACTCTTCTCATGAACGCATGCAAAAATTGCCGCCAGGATACTTTTAACAAATATAAACACTTTTGACACTATTATCCCAAATTACATATGAATATCAGCATTTTTGAAAAGTTAGAGCGTTTAGAATATTGAATGAATGAGTTTGGAGGAAGTCGAGACTTACTAGCCTCGTTTTGGTGTTTTTCTCACATCTTACTGTACATTGTTCGTTTCCTAATTTTCTAGTTTTAGTTCAATGAATATGATCTTCTTTAAGAATGTTATAGATATTTCATCGACTCTCATTTACTAAAGGGAATTTTTTCTGATTTTGTTTTCATCTACTTACTTGGGACCGCGTTGAAGGGATTTTCAACTAGGTTTTTAACTCGTGGAATAAACAAAATCGCCCCTCCTGCATTGTACACAATCTCTTCCTCTCTTTCTTCTCTCCTTACTCAAATCCGGTGGAATTAGACTAGTAGACTCAACCAGTTCCAAAGATAGGACTCGAAGTTTTGGTCCCACTTGAATCCAAGACTTCCCTTACGACACCAAGAACGAATATTCAAACAGGTTAACCAACCCAGGGGAGTAGTATAGGGGATGGGGGTTCCAGCGCAACGACCACCGGAGGATTACCCGTCTAAAGTGAATTCCTCGATTCGTACCGCGATTACCCGCATCCCGTGTTTATGTAGTTAAATATGTTAGTCTATATATGGAGTGCGAAGATTGTAAGAGAACTTTTAAGAAAGAAGTGGACTTGAAGAAGCATTTGAAGATTAGAAGAGTGTATGGATTGTCCGCGCCTCGACAACCATGTTTCGACTACCTTTTCTACTGGTAGGCACAAAGTAGTATTTTTTTGTGTCCTCTGCGCTGGTAGCAAGCACCAGAAATGTCCATAGGGAAGTAGGTGGAGGCGAAATGCCTCTCCATGGTAGCAAGGGCCCCAAGAAATGCTA